TGACGTGCTACCTATTTATCTACTCGCATTTATATGCATTCAAACTGCTAGTTGGCAGGAGCTAGGCGAAGACAGGCAAAGACATAAGAATAACATTCCTATGTTATTTCCATAGGAAGCCATTGTGCTTTCCTATGGAAATAACATTTAAAAAATTTAAGAAACACTGGGCAAGAGAAAGAAGTCAATAAGTGGAAGCAAAAGCAGAGCACATAACCATTGGTTCTTGTAGGGTCTCACTGATTTCTCAGCTGAAGAGGAAGAGTACTTGTTTTTCATCATCTTTGGTTTTAAATTAACAACTAGATTTATGGAAATTTCTGATTTATTGGTTGCCCATGATTTTGACAATACTAGACATCATTATTTACATAATAAAGTAATGACTGATGCAAGCAATGGTAGCTCAGTATTAACTCCAAAAAATCAAAAGGAAAGAAGTTTCAGATTATTAGTCGAATGACTACTGATTGAGTAATGTATATGATTTCAAGTTGCACGTAAAATTTGATTTAGTAGAGTGAAGAGTAAATAAATATGTTCATATGAGTGTAATTTCATATAATGGAAATCTGTGCTTGTGTCAGATCTACCCCCAGAGCTGCTGCTGATTAAATATTAAGGCTGTATGCATAGAGACAATACTGTTTGTTAACTTTGTTAAGGCACAAATAAATTGGGGTACTTTATAATGTAACATCATGGACAAGGGTTACAGAAATAATTTCTTTGGTAATTGTAATAAGAGAATAAGGAAAGCAAACTAAATCCAGTCTCTAATCTAACAGAACTGAGTAGATGGTAAAGCACTTTTAGCAGTGTTTTGACAGATCTGCTTTGTTTCTTTTAAAAATCCCTTCATCACCAGCTGTGCCAAGCAATGAAAGAAGATTGTTTTTAGTAATTAGCAAACTCATATACTGATTCACACATGCTCATAGGAATGGATGCACACAGATTTCTTAGCTTTTAATCTCTACAAAACATAGATATATTCAAGACTTTTTTTTTTTTTTTTACTTTGGCTGTTCACCGCCCTGAGTCCTATTTGGAGAAGGGCGGTATAGAAATGGAAACAAATAAATAAATAAAAATAAGACCCAAGAATTTATTTCTATGTATTGCCCCAAATATGGAGCTTCATTCCCCCCGCCCCCGCCCCCCCATTTATATAAAAATAGCATTTGACGGATTTTTTCTGTGTTGCTTTCTGCCAATATATCATTTTTCCAACCAATGAAAAATGCATATATCATCAATAAAGTGAGGGCAGATGGAAGAAATCTGGTTTGCATCTTAAACACAAAAAAAGTGTTTTTGAAGCTTCCAATATTACTATATTGCTATGTAATTAGAAAGCAATTTAAAAACATTTTAAAAACAATTACATTACATTTTTTCTTCTGCTCAATCATGTCCAATTCTCAGAGACTGCCTAGACTATTCCTTACAGTTTTCTTGGCACAGTTTTTCCAAAATGGTTTGCCATGCCTCCTTCTCTCCTGCTCAGAGAAAGTGACTGACCCAAGTTCACCCTGCTGCCTTCATGCACAAAGCAGAATTAGAACTTATGGTCTCCTGATTTCTAACCATATGCCTTAACCACTACATTAAAATGGATGTCGCATTGCATTACTATTTCAGGTAATCCACATTTCAGCTGTTCCTAGCTTGCTTGCTTTGGTTTGGGGATTGTTACTATTCATTTACATTTAATCAATTTAGAGGGCACCCAACTCTGCGGGATTTCCAGTTTGAAAACCACAAAAGTAAACCATTCCTGAGTGGCCCAAAGACAGACATATTAACAGAATCCCTATCCAACAGGACTCACCCATGACCTATGCCCAGGGTCTAGAACAACAGCCATGTCTTCAGTAGCTTCCTGAATGTCATCATGGTGTCATCATTCTTGCCATAGAGGAAGCCATCCAGATCTTGAAGAGGATTTATTCCAGAGGGCAGGCACTGCAGCAGAAAAAACACACTTCTTGGATCCCATTAGATTACACTGCTTAATTGATGGGACTCAAAATGTACTTACTCTGCCTGATCTCACGAGATGAACAGAAACAATTGGTGACTGGTCATCTCTTAAATAACCAAGTGCTATGCCATGAAGAGCTTTATAAGTAACAGCCAGCACTTGGAAGCCAGCTGGTAACCATCACATGTACATTCTGACTATGACACATTCTGACATGCTACCACGTTCTGACTATGGAACCTTTATCATTATATCATCACTCATGCCAAATATAATCATAAAACTATCCCCCCAAATATTGAGAGCCTTGCTTAGTGTTTTGTTTTTGATAGTATTTGAAGTTATGTGGATCCTTTGGAAACTTTAAATAGCATGTCTATCAAAAGGCTAATATTCTATTAAAATTAATAATTTTAAAATGAAAGAGCCATCTCTCTCATTTAGAGGCTCTTTAATAGAATGTCCTTTTTGACATTAGAATGTATTCATATAGCCTGAGATATATGTCCATGAAGCTGCAAGACTGAATTGGTTCCCTATTATTATTATTATATACTTTATTCATTAAACATGAAACTCAGTCAACTGAACATTCAAAAATGCATCACAAATACCACTGACTGGTGCTAATGGTTGATACGGGTTGCTGCCAGCGTCCTAGGTATCAACCAAGTACCTTCTTAAGATGTACGATGTTCCAAGTAGCGCAGCTTTTTGCAGTTCCACTGGTGTTATTACAGGAAGCTGCAGTTTGTTGATGTATCTTATAAAATTCTTGGACATGGTACCAAGTGTCCCGATGACAATGGGTATCGCTGTTACATGTTTCATCCATAATCGCGTAGTTTTATTATTATTTTAAATATATTATCAATGCAAAGTGTCCTATCCTCTTGAAAGTTTTTCAGTGAAATCCATTGTTTTACTAGTAGTGTATTAATACAGTTAACAAACAACAAACTTGCTGATGAAATTAAATGTCCCTGAAGCAACTTTATTGGGTTAGGGTTAGAGTTAGTGTCAAAAATTTCACTAGGTGGATAACATCGATGTATTGTGCAGATTGTTTTTAATGAGTTGAAAAAGATCTTGAGATGCATCCTTGTAAAAATAACCCGCTTAGTTCTGCATTTTTTTAGTATCTTTCTATATTTAAGTAATATAATTAATAAAAATACATAAATCAAATTGCAGTATTTCCTCAACAATATTGCTGGTAGCTATAAAGTGTTAAGTGTTATTTTAAATAAATATGTAATCAAGAAGGAAAGCTGTGAGACCGTCATATTATAGAGTGAATTGCCATCCAAAAATGTCATGATCGAAAAGAAAAAACAGGTGTGATGATGAGTTCTGTATACTTAAACATTGAACTGCCTCAGTCATCTATAAAAAATATTGTAGGGGTATAATAGGGTTTGTCTTTTGTACATCAATGGTTATTATCCAGTTTTAAAATGAATGCACAGCTGAAGAGTAGCATTCTGGTATATGAGCTTAGCTAAGAAGAAAGATATTTGGGAGAGAATATCCAAAGCTAAATTGGAGGCCAAGTGGAGGTGCTTCACTATGGAGGTGCTTCACTGCAGCTGAGCAAACTAGGCTCATCCTGACCAAACATTTTCAGCAAAATGTCTCTGCAACAAGATCTTGAATAATAATGTATTTATAGTCACCATAAATTGAGACAATCAAAGATTTTTTTGTAGTCTTTCTTTCCTTTAAGTTTTCTAAAGATACAAGCTTCATCAGAGTCATCACAGCCAAACCTGCCCATCTATTGACTCTCTACTTCAACTCTGACATAAGTAAGAATTATGAAAAGATAGATTTGACATATAGTTTCACATTTTACTGACATATTTCTTATTCATGCACCATTTGTCTTTAGAATGCTACCTCTTCTTTTCTACATGATATAAGTAAATCCATATGTAAGCACCAGAAATACCATGGTCACATTTATTAGTAGCACTCTAGGAAAAACATGCAATCAGTAACAAGGAAAAGAGAGATGCTCAAGAGAAAAATAAAAATTGCTAAATGATGAGTGCAGACCAATAGTCATTTTATTGTGACTAAATAGGTGTGGACAGATATTGATGTTAGAGTTCTCTTTAATCTTCTGAGCCACTTGCAGCTAAATCCCAATTCTAAATAGAGTCTGCAGCAAAACAAAACTCCATGCCAGGAGAACTGGAAATGTCAAAAGGGACTATTCTGTCTATGTGAATCATACTGCTTTCCAAACCCTTCTTAAAAAGAAGCATGCATAAAGAACATGTTCATGATACTGATGATGCATGATGTTCGTCTTCATATATAATGCGTACATTATGATGCATACATGTTCATGATACTGATATTGGGAGGGGGGGTATTAGAAAAATAAACATTCTGCATCTGTTGCTAGGAAATCAAGCAATAGATGCAGGACATTAGAACATTACTGGGATGAAAACATAGAAAGAGAAGTAGCATCCAGCAATAGAGTCTTATCTTTCTGTGTTATTGAACTATGAGCACAGTCATTGAAAATCTGCCATAGAGACAGGTATTTCTTTTTATCTGCTGTCTTTTAGCCAGACTATAGAGAATGAATTTTGTGATTATATAATTATTCAGGTAAAATCTATGTGTTGTCTTCATTGTTAAGCAATATCTTTTCTCTTCCTTTTAGACCAGGTTAATAGTAGTAGATCATCCCATTTGAATCTTCATTTTAGAGGGGCAACTGACCTGCTGCTTGCTGATCATTCTTTTGTGCAAAAAAGTCCTACACCTCTTTTCAGACTTTCCTTAATTATTCTACAGTCAAATTCTCCATACTTTGAGCTCACACAAAACTGCCTCTGGAGATGTGTTGAGCAAGAAGGGGTGAATTGTACTGGTGTTTGAATAAATCTCCCTAATTTGTTCATGGTTTTTCCACCAATTCACAGAATTCATATGACTTATTTTCATCCATGTAACCTCTTACTATATTGGTCATTCCATTTTTCTTTCCTATTAGAGTGAAATTGGACACAGCCCTCCTCCTGCCTACACCCCTATGTCAGGAGTAAGTATTTCACAATCAACCTGTTAGGATTTGTTTGTCCTTTTAAATGTATCCTCCTTCTCTCTTCATGAATTCCACTATCCCATGTACTCTCTCGTTCTCCAAGGGTAGTGAGAGTTGATCATGTTTTGTTGCTGAGTGCAGCTGAATAACACAAATTTCATTAACTCTTAACAGAAAATTCTAGGATAGAATCAGCTGTTACTAGAGATTAATATTTGCCTTACAATAAATTTTGCTTTGTTTTGTTGAACAGGGTTCTCTGGACATTGTTCGGTTACAACTTATAATAATATAATAAAATTAAGGGAGTGCTAAACATTGTAAGATTATCCTTAATTCTAGAAGCATTTGGGAGATTCAAAGTGTTATCTTTGGTCCATAATATTTTTTGAAGCTAGGATGAGTGTGCCTGTTTTAGTTTAGGTTGGTTTAATGATACTGAAAAAACTTTGTGTATTAAAAACCTTCATAAGTTTAAACCTTCTCTGAAAAAAAGGAATCAGATAAAACGGCTGGAGGGACAATTAGCTTTTGTGATATCTGATAAACCTAACAAAACAAAAATCTAATAAATAACAACCAAAAATTGCCACATTTAATTCAGAAGAGTTCATATAGCTTGAAGGCAAATATAAAAATTAAATGTGAAAGGAAATAATAATTTTAATATGTTTGTATGGATTCAAAGAACAATGCCCACACTGAACCACAGAAAATGCAGTATAAAGTTACTGAATGGACATTAATTAAAGCTATGGTAATTTCTTTAAAAGATCAACATTAAAAGGTTCTAGTGAGTTCCACAAGAACTGATCATTAATTTCTCAGGAAATTCACACAATGCCAGAACATTCTCCTTTCCTCTTATTTTATGAAAAATAACAACCAAGTCGATAAATTTCATTCCTGGAACAATATAAAGAAATACTTGATCAATTATATTTGTTTTAAATGATTATGTTAAATGCTGTACTCTAAACAATAATCTTATGGTGATAAGGAAGATATTTTGGAATCCATTGGATAGTTCAGATCTCCTCTTCAAGAAGAAAGGAAGCGGTCTGCTCTCCCGGGTGATTGTCTAAATTTCTTCCAATGTTTGCCTGCTGACATCAGAGCTCCAACATCATGTAATATATAGATCATCTTTCTCAGAGAGGAGTGGGAGAGATTGGATGGTTTTCAAAGATTTCAACATCCTCTCACCCTTTAGAACTGCTCCTGAAATAAGGAGAATTACATTTCAGCTCAAGAACCGGCATACATAATTTCATTCCTATTATTATTATTATTGTTGTTGTTGTTGTTGTTATCGTTATCGTTATCGTTATTGAAAATTTAATCTTCAATTTGATTCACAGTCTGGGACTGGTAAAAACCTAACAGTTTAAGTCCTAACCAAGGACCTAAGAGCTGTCAAGATAATGTCTGAGTGTACAGGCAGTTCCAAATATGGTGGTTTTTTGCAAAGTCAGGATACTCAGGCCTGATAAATTCAAAAGTTTGATTTATCTAGGCAACCCTTTGGGTATTGCTCCAAGGGCTCCTATTACTATTGATAAAATCAGTAGTAGTAGTAGTAGTAGTAGTAGTAGTAGTAGTTATGATGATGTTCTGTTCAAGGGCTTTCTCCTTCCAAGAGACTGATGGCCAAGAGTCAGCACTGCTTCTGTCTCTGTGCCATTCTTGCACGCTCTTCTAGACTAGTCCAGTTATACATAGTTAAGTAGTAATACATAATTCAGTCAGCCTACTGTTTGGGAATTATATTATTGTTGTTAAAACTAATGATCTAATTCAAAAACGGGGGGAAGGATAGAATGTTTTTGTTTCAGAGTTTTATTTAAAGCAAAATTTGGATGCTCATATAAACATGCTTTCACATGTGAAACTTCCAATCATTTAATGGGAAGGAAAATGATTCTCAGTGACTAACATTTATAGCATGTTTCTATTGTGTAGTAAAATAATTGCCTAGTAAGGGAGATATAAAGTGCTAGATGATACAAAATTGTACAAACTCTATACACCCTATACAAGTATTGTTATAGTAATTCAGGATAAAGACAGAAGTCATAGGCATCTGGGTATATATTGTACCCTGCTTGTGAATGCCTTCTGCCAGCAGTACTTTCCCCTCTACTCTCTCTTACAGAGGACTACTAAGGTGGGCTTAGTTGCGGAGGTCACTGAAGGAATCTTTCTGCAGGTCAGCTAATTTCCACACTTAGGACATTTGGTGTCCTTTCAATGACATTTTGTATTATGTATAAATGTTGAGGTTTATCTTGGCAAAAGTACCTGAGAAATTCTAGGAAATGCAAAATGAATGGCAGGAATAAATGTAGCACAAATTTCTCAGGCCAGGTTTTGTGAGATGGGAGGTAACTTACTAACCCTAGAAGAGTGTAGTTGAACATAGAAGGTAATGTGTTATAATACTAGGGATTTTTTTAAAAAACAACAACAACAGGGAAATAACATATAGAGACCATCAGATTTTGGAAAAACATTAAATAGAATCTGATCCTGATTGAATTTAGATTTGGCAGTCATAGATTGATGGATTAGGGTTGGGCTCTTATTTGAGGCAGCAGATTATTTGTATCGTAATCTAAAATCTAAGAAAAATGCACTAAGTTTTCGTTCTTGAAGGGTAATATTTCAAAAGCATAAACTAAGTATCTTGAATTACTTTAAACCAATAGAATTTAAGTTGAATCCAGCAATAATGAAAACCTATGCATGTGGAATTCACTCAGTTCCTTTAGCCAATGCTTGCAGAGTCAAACAACAAACTAAAAAAATATGTGTAATGTTGACTGAAACAGTTACAACTAAAACTTCTGCATAACATAGGTGCCTATTGAGCAAATAATTGAACATCTTATATGCATGAAACTAAGCTCTAATGTTAATTCTGTGGGGGGGTTTTCACATGGTGTTTTGTGTTTCTTATAGAATCAGTTTATCTACAGAGATGGAAGCTTGTCTACAGAACAAGGAGTTCCTTTGCCATACAGAACTGCCATACCAGGCATAGCTCCAGAAGTTCCCATCAGGCAAGGAGCTGCTGAGATCTGTGATGACACTTGCTGCAATGGTACTTTACGGAAACAAGTGGCAAGTCTTTCACAAGATGACAGTATCACTCAGAGGTATAGCGCTGACCCAACAGTTTTTATCCCAGAGCGAGGGCCAAGAACTGAGCTGGATGAAGAAGGGTATATGACTCCAATGCCAGAAAAGTGCAAAACAGGTATATCTCTCACATAGTGATAATAATTCCCACCCCCCACTGCCCAGTATAATCAATGCTCAGAGAATATTCTAGTTGGAGCTCTATACAGATAAAATGAACCCTAGCAAGAATGGCTGACATCAGCTGGTGCTCATATCTCTCCCATGCCTTCCTCCAAGTTGAACTGGTAAGTGGTACCATTGCATAAGATTTATTTGGATGAAAGACCATTGCAAGGTAGGGGAGTATCATCTTTTCCATCCAAAGAGCCATAGGTACCAAGGTTGAAGTTTGGGCCACACTTATGCCTTCATAAGCCAATCCATCCATTTATACATATATACAGGCAAGAAACCATACAGTGAAGGAACCCTAAACCTTTAAAGCCTTACAAGGCATCAGGCCAGGTTCATTGTGGGGCTACTTATCCCCAGAGCATGCTCACCTGCTATCACAGGATGGCTATGTTCCGATTCCCCTTGGTGCATGTGGGAAGACTTAGGAAGTGGGGAAAGACCACTGTCTTTGCGACCTAACATTTGCATGATTCCTGTTTAGTACTGGGTTGTCTGAATTATTCTTTGTTTCAGTCAAACCAATTCAACCTGTAAAATGAAAGGCACGTCTCCTAGAAGCAGAGTCTTGTTTTTCTACATTGGCTTTACGATGGAAGAGTTTATAGGACCTCACGCTCTTGGCATTTTGTTTGTAGCATTGAGCTTGACTTGTCAATTACATTGCAAGCTTAGCTGCAGAGTAGAGGTTACTTTCAAGTAAAGGTTTTTTTTGTTTTTGTTTTTTGTTTTTGCTTTTCCCAATGTCCAACTGAACAGCATTTTCACTGGGCTAAGAGGAAATGCATCATTAGTTTCCTGCTGCCTTTAATGTACTCAACCATATAATATGGAAAAGAAAATAGATAGCATTTCCCTGTTATATTCATTGCCTCTTCCTAGGAAGAGGTGATCCTGTTTGGTCAAGCTTCAACATTTGGCACTGTAAGTAATTAAAATCTATATCACTCATTCAGCAGCCCATGGGCTTTTATGAAATGCACTGCTTCCTGAAAAATCAGGTCAAGTAACCAGAGCTACAATACTATGGCATTCTCTCTGCTCCCCAATCCCCCCTTTTTTTAATTCCACAAGAATTACTTGGCTTCCTTGCATAGCTTCTGTTTGTGTGTTTGGTTTAGTCTATATTTATTTATTTTATTTATTTATTTTATTTGATTTCTATACTGCCCTACTCCCGAAGGACTCAGGGTGGTGCACAGCCAAACAATAAAATACATACATACAAAATTTAAAAGTGGAATTAAAATCAAATTAAATAGTTTTGGCTCAAATTAAAACCCCAATCAATTTAAAACCAATTTTAAAATTTGAATATATAAAATACTAAAAAATATTAAAAATTTTAAAATCTTTTATAAAAGAGGGAGAAAATTAGGCCAGGCCCACCTGGTGAAATAAAAAGGTCTTTAAGGCGCAGCGGAAGGTGCGCAGATCCGGGATCCTCCGTATCTCCGGGGGGAGTTCGTTCCAAATAGTAGGTGCCCCCACAGAGAAGGCTCTCCCCCTGGGGGCTGCCAGTCGGCATTGTTTGGCCGACGGCACCCGGAGGAGCCCCTCTCTGTGGGAGCGTACCGGCCGGTGGGAGGCTATTGGTGGTAGTAGGCGGTCCCGCAAGTACCCAGGTCCTGAGCCATGGAGCACTTTAAAGGTGGTAACCAAAACCTTGAAGCACACCCGGAAGACCACCAGGAGTCAGTGCAGCTCGCGCAGGAGGGGTGTTACATGGGAACGCCACGTCGCTCCCATTACCACCCGTGCGGCCGCACTCTGCGCCAGTTGGAGCCTCTGGGTGCTCCTCAAGGGGAGCCCCATGTAGAGAGTGTTACAATAGTCCAGGTGGGAGGTGACGAGGGCATGAGTGACTGTGCGTAACGAGTCCCGATCCAGAAAGTGATGCAACTGGCTGATCAGGCGAACCTGATGAAAAATCTTCCTGGTCACGGCCGTCAAGTGCTCTTCTAAAGACAGCCGTGAATCCAGGAGGACGCCCAAGTTGCGATCCCTCTCCGTGGGGGCCAGCGATTCGCCCCCAATAGTCAGCGATGGCATCAACTGACTATATCGGGACGTCGGAAACCACAGCCACTCGGTCTTGGATGGGTTGAGCCTGAGCCTGTTTGTTAATTGTTGAAATGCAAGGAAACTTTTAAAAAGCAAGATTTTTTTTTGGTATTTTGATATTTTCTATGACAACTTTGATATCCAAGATACAACCAATTAAGCATTAGTTATTATTTTCTCTCAGTCTTGTACATCTTTCAAAACCCCTTTTGTCACAGTAAGATAGGTAAGATTTTGGATGTAAATTTTTTGTTCCCTTAAGAGTTAATGAGGCAATGTAAAGAAACATTTTTTGCGTCACTGATTCTAATATAGTGGAGGCATGTGTGCAAAACTGTCAGTAGACTGAGCCAGTGGTGAAATTCAGCCGGCTCTATCCAGTCACGCAGTCTGGTACTGCCGGCGGCGTGAGGCTCCGCCCACCCGCCCGGACATCATCACATCCCGTTTTTGACCCTCTGTGCATGCGCAGAAGGCTCTGCACATGCATTGAGGAGGCATGCAAGACCGTAGCGAGTGTGTGCACGCGCATGCTCACATTTGCGAACCAGTAGCGAAGGTAAATGAATACCACCCCTGGACTGAGCTCAGCTCACTTGAAAATGAATGTGCCATTTTACAATCTAGCATCCATCAGATGCCAGTTTCAAGTTACTTTATGGGTAAGGTTGGGTGAAAATTATTTTAAAAAACATTATCACAGAATAAGGATGTAATAATTAAAATACTTCTTAGCATTTTTTTCCCATCAGAAATATTCCATGATAATGCAAACAAAATTAAGAAGTTGCCCAATCTTGTTTGTTGCCCAATCTTGTTTACACACACACACACACACACACACACACACACACACAAAATATTTATGTTCTGCAGACCAGGAAGTAACAACCCAGTTCTTTGATTCTGTATTCACCTATTCCTAGTGAGTAGCTTGTTTTCACTTACATGAAATGTGACTGAGTTTATCTCAGTTGAAAGTCATGTTAGCAAGACGGCACCTTATGGTTATGAAGATGTAGCACTCTAGATATAAACATAAAAACATAAAAGCATAACAATAATGCAACACTGCAGGAAAAAAAACACAGTATTCGATAAAACATGTACCAAAAACATTAGGTGTTAGGAGTAGACTATTCCATAGCTGGCAATGTTTGATCAGAGAAGTGTTTTTCCCCAAAAGGAAAAAAGACTCAGAGAAATGTTTCCATTATGGAACTTAAAGTATGAACAGGCTGACAGGGATGGGATAGTTTTGTCCATTACCCTTAGCCTCAGTTCCTACCATAAATTTCTTTTAGTCATTTCCACAAGTGCTTCCAAATTTGTGTTTCAAATGTATGGAGTTTTGTCTGTCTTTTCACTCAGTTATGCATTTTTGTATGCATTTTTCCTAGTGTATATGTATATATTTTGACAAACTATTTCCCCAAATTTATAATGTTATGTTTCCTTAATGTACACATTGCAGTAGAAATTATTTTCATTTCAATTAACATCTCTTTCCTTTTTCCAAGATCACCTGAATCCAGTGGAGGAGAATCCATTTGTTTCTCGGTGGAAGAATGGTGATCTTCAAGCTCTGGACAACCCAGATTATCACAACAGCCAAACTGGGCAGTCCAAAGTCGAGGATGAATATGTGAATGAGCCCCTGTACCTCAACACCTTTGCAAGCACCTTTGAAAATGCAGAGTACCTGAAGAAAAATGGGCTTCCATTGCCAGAAAAGCCCAAAAAGGCATTTGATAACCCAGGTTATTGGAATCACAGCCTGCCTCCTCGAAGTACCCTACAGCATCCGGACTACCTGCAGGAATACAGCACAAAATATTTTTACAAACAAAATGGAAGGATCCGACCCACTGTGGCTGAGAATCCCGAATACCTCTCAGAGTTCTCTCTGAAGCCTGGCATGATGCTGCCTCCTCCACCTTACAGACACCGAAACACAGTAGTGTAATCCCAGGGAGAAATGGGGAAACCATACCAGCACTCTCTTCCTCTCCTTCCTCCTCCCCCTTTTCTCTTCCTTCCCCCTTTTCTTACTTTCTCTTGCCAAATCTTCCCTCCATTTGATGTCTGCAAAGAGAAGGGAGAGAGAATCATTTAAATCAATGATTCCAGAAATTTAGGAAGAAGCAAAAGAAAAAAAAAGTCTGGCTTTTCTTCCTTTCCAAGCACTTCTTTTAGAGGAAGAAAAGATCAGACCAGCCACGCATGCTAGGAACTGCCCCTGAAGTGGTTGCCTGCTGTCAGGCTGGTGTTCTTATAGGGATCCAGCTTGGGGGCTGCCAAGAAAGTCACCCTGGTCAGTTTCTATCAGCAGGAAGTGCCAGAGCCACTGAAGCATTCCTGCAGAAGGCAAGGCAGTTTCAAAAGGTGGGAAAGGGGTAGAAAAAGACAATTTTTATACCATAGGTAATGAACTAATGACTGAGATTGAAAGGCCAATTTCTTTAACCTTTTTTTTATTCTGCCCGCTAATCAAAATGTCTAATCCAGCTTGCTTATGGCCAGTTGCTCTCTCTACTTTTGCAGTTGTGAATTCTTTTCCAAGGCAGAGACCTCATTCATTCCTGTTCTGGTGCATGAAATTACAGGTGGCTACAAGTCGAAAATTGTATCAGGACACACACTCATACACATGCAAACTAACTTGGGCTTTTTGAGGGCACAGTGCCAATGAATATTGAATATTTATATAAAGAGAGCCTCCTGTTCATGTTTTATATACATTGAATGCCACATGTAATAATTCTCCCCTCCATTTCTTTATCAGCTAAAGCTGAGAGCATTATATAGCACTAGAAGGAAGAATAACACTGGATTTTTAAACACTTTAACGTTTTTAAGGCAGGGTCAGGAGGGAAAATAGAAAAAGAAAAAAATAAGGACAGGTAAAACACACTCTGGAAATCACTGGAAAATTAGTTTGCACTTAAACTTTTCTTTTTCATTCTCTTTATATTTTCTCCTTACTCTGAACGTTATTCTGGAATCTGAATGAAGCAATATGGAAGTGACCAGCAAAATAAAATAATTTAAAATGTAAAATGAATAATAATATAAATATATATACTATATCTATATATGAAAGGTGACTCTGGAATTGCCAAAACAAAGTGAAAGTCAAGCCTTTGGAACTTCATTCATCAGTGCAACTACAACTACTCACAGGAATAATATTGAAGTACCAACTTTGGATATTGGCTCTTACAAGAAAAGGAACACATATGAAGGGAACTCTGAAGGTAAAAGGGGGAAGGACTGATTTGAGCTTCCCAGTAAAGACTATTGTGAGACTGTTATTGAGAAGTTTTGTTCTAGCACAAAGAAGAAATACTAAACAAGACCTTAAACAAATTAAGGGTGTTTGTGGCTGTTATATTCTCAGTCAAATCTGTAAGTAATCTCCCAGCATTTGCTTATTTATTTTTTACTTTTGGCTTTTACATGTTGATTTAAAGAAAAATAATTGGTTCCTTGAAATTGTAGCATTGAAAGGCACAAGAATAGAAAAAGAATCACTTCAATTCTCAAAACTTAATATATTTGAAATGCACTTTTAGGAGGAATCAGTTACCTTAGTGTATACAGTCTGCTGTTTATTAATTTCAAAACAGAGAATAAAGATAGAAGAACAGAGAATCAGTGTAGAAATAAGATTTGTACTTAACTCTGATGGACAAAATTTAAGGAGTGCAACAAGATGAGGATTGTCTTCAGAAATATAAAGAAGCATATTAAGAAACTCTTGCAAGAGGTAGGCTTTGGACTTACTTACTTAACAGCTGATGGATATAAAAGCTGATACTCTTAAATAGCAGGTCCTTATTCATTCATTTGGTATGCTGTATGAAAGGCATGTTCTTTTGGGATTCAGCAAAGAACAAAACATATCTCATGAGGTTATCAGTGGCAGAATGATTTTACTGGAGATTAAGGCAGGAGCCAAAGCATGACACACACAGCAAGTAACCTGGACAGATCTTACAGAGCCAATTGTTAGGATGCCTACAGCTGGGACCACAAAGGACCCAAACAAGTAGGTTAGATAAAAAAGAACCAAGCCATCAAATCGTGCAACACCAAATCCATTTGGAAAGCAGATAATACAAAATTAATTGCTCTGCCCATGATCAATCTAGAATATTGCTTGCTGGTATTCTCAAATTAGAAAACTCAGAGGTTAATGACATTTAGATAAGTATTTGAACTTATCGTTTTAAAACAAGCTTTCTGACTTTATATGGATATTTTTCTTCAGATAAGCAATTTATTTTTCTTCAAGGTGCAGTTTGTTGGATACCCTTAACCCCAAAACTCCACATATTCTGCAGGTATCCATAGAAAAAGTATAAGACAGTAAACAATATCTCTGCTTAAATGTGCACAATAGTTTCCTTTTTTCTTTCTTCCTATTTAATATGAAATGAAATTTTGATGAGGGCCAAATTTTCAGGTAGGCTAACAAAATCCTAACTCTATAGGTCTCCGTTGCTAACTATGATGATGCCAAAATGGCAAAACAAGCATTATGATAACATGATGTAAATTTCATTTTTTTTCTACATGCATTGCAGTGTTGTACACAACACTGGGGTGGTTTGCATCAGAATATCACAACATATATTCTGCCACATGTCCCATCCTTGCAGACATCCATGCCTTGCTTCAAACCTTGATTTAAAAAAAATTAACACTGCAGCCTTCTAATTCTTCCTTAAAAGTTTAATAGTTAATATAATCCAGCTCAGTGACTTTGCTTTTGTTGCAAAAAGGAAATGTAGTTGGATATACTTATATTTTAAAAGAGAAAAGAATGGTCTTAAAAATCAGGAATATTTGAAAATCATTGCTTTATCTTCTGTAGCTATCTTCATTTTAAAAGCATGTATCTTCTAGTTTCCTGACTTACATTTATAATCAGCCATAGCCTTGTAACCAATATTTATTGGCTAAAGGGCACCGTATGGGACCTAGTGTGTGATCTGTGTATGTTACAGTCCAAATGCCTAAATCATTGATTCTTCCAGATTGATAGCTTGTTAAATCCTGCAATTAGCAGTAGCTTCCATTCTTCTCAATAGTTATTGCTCCCTACCTATGGACAGAATTTGCCAGAAGGAGCCATGAAACTTCAAAACTTCTAATTTTCCAAAGAAATAGCCATTAACTGGCACATTTCTGTGTCCCGCCTATAAGTCCTTAAGAGTTTCCTGTGTAAATTGCATCTCCCTTGATTCTAGAAGAGAGCCTGGCAGGTCAGACTCCTTATTCCACTGCTGGCTCCAGTGAAAATCACAAGATCTGTTTTAATTGTAGATATTATAGTAATGGAGTTGCAGAGCCAGACCCTAGAACAAACTTGTCTTCCATTGCAATACAGGACTGCTTATTTAAACATGTTTTTATGAATGGATAGCTTTTTTTATGAATGGATTTGAAAGGAAGGTAATCCTTTCCTGCTACATTTCATGCAAATGCAGCTCATTATATACACAGTTTCTTTTAAACAATCCCACACTTAATAGTTATGAGGTGGTATTTTAAAAACTCAGTAATTAAGTAAATAAATCAAACTAATTATATTGCAAATTTCTCCATGCAGAAATTAGGACATCATTGGGCCAATGTTAAGGCATGTTTCTCTCTATACTTCATCATAAAGCCTAGGCAGATTGAATCCTAACTTCATTATATTAGTTTTATTTTCTCATGTAAAATATTGGACTGTATAGTAATAGATGTTAAAATTCAGGATTACTATTTTTCTTCTTTAGGATTTTAGAATGAAAGTATTTGAATCAGAAAGATAGCATAAAATTTTAGTTTTTCCAACCAATAGTTAATTCAAAATCTCCCAGTAGCTGTAGCTGTGAAACTGTGATTATCATTGATCTTTAAAGTATTGTCCAAGCTATAAAAATTAATATTCTAAATGACAGTACAAAAAAAAAAACAATTGAAAAATGAACTAAATGTACTACTGGCCAGGGTTAATATCCACAAATATCTCAGTGAAATCTATTTGTGTAATTTACATAATTCTCATTTGTCATACGAGGCATGTAATTAGTGCACAATAGTAATAAGGAAATCCACCATACCACAACTTCCTGCTGGTTCAAGATTGGTGTACAATTTGTTTGATTTCATACTGTCAGATTGTTAGAGACTTGAGACAGTATTGTCATGCTCAGGCACCTGAAATTTAATTGAAGCTACTTTTAATTGCTGTTTGAGAATCCTGTTTTCTCAATGGAAGGAACCCCTGTTTCATCCCACTTCCTCCTAGCAACATAAACCAGCAGCCATATTTATTGCATTGGCAATAAATATCTCCTCTGGAAGGAAGAAAGAATGGTGTAAAAGTCAACCATTCTGAGCAATCTTCCTTTGCTTTTGCCGCAGCAACCCCCAATACATCCTTCAACTCCAGGGATTAGACCCTGAGCCTCTGTGAAGGAAGGCCCCAGTTAAAAACGTTCTGTCGGAGTGCTAAGGTTACTTTGCGGCAGCATGTTGACTGAATGTAAGAAGGCAGCTTCACAGCTGGGATCTTTTTTTCTTGTGCCAAAACAAGTGCACCCCAAATGCATTGCAAGTCAGTGGATTGGGAACCAGTGCTATCACTTATCCTTTTTTGCAATGAGCAGGATTTTTGTTTCTCTTTGAAATGGCATTTTCTGCGCTCTCAGCTAGAGGGGCCATAATTGGCTAATGGTTACTTCAGCAGTTCCATGCATGTTGATGCGGAGAGCAGGAAAGCAATGGCATGTTAATAGAGGTAATGCCTCAAAGTGAAGGCCAAAGTGGTTCTTAGCTGCAATTCAACTGCATCCCTTGAGGGGATTCTTTTTTATGCCATCTATTCTATCAGCATGCATTTTTGGTGCTTGTAATTGTTCTGGTGCTTCAGAAAGTTTTCTGCCCATGGTGGAGGAGAAATCCCATAGGTGTAATTGTATACCCATGGATTATACAGGCAAATAAATGAATACAATTCTACGAATTAGAGACTATAGTGAATCAAAGACTATGACAGTCTTCCAATACTTATTCTACAAAGCACCTGAGGGCAGGACAGGAAATAATGGTTGGAAAATTATTAAACAGAGATCCAACCTAGAAATTTCCTGACAGTGAGAACAATTAATCAGTGGAACAGTTTACCTCAGGAAGTTGTGAGTTCTCCATCACTGGAGGTTTTAAAGAAGACATTGCACAGCCATATGTCTGGAATGGTATAGGGTTTCCTACTTGAGCAGGGAGTTGGACTAGAAGACTTCCAAGGTTGCTTGGAAGATCTAAGTTCTAAAACTAATTGAGAGCTTAACATTTCACAAGAAAGTGTATCTTGGGGAGTACTAACCCTACTCCTAATACTTGTGTTTTTATGATCAGTACTGTGGATTAAATGTCTTAACTGATATAGGAATCCTTATCAAACTAGTTGGAGAGAAAATGTTGCCTCAGAAAGTCATAACGCTGAGTACTGAAAGTCTCAGACTGAACTGAGCCGGCATAAATCAGAACCCTTCTACAGCCAATAAACTGAACAAAAGCTATCATCCACAGACACCATGAACTCTCAGCCAGCATAAGATATACCATTGTGAGTCAAATGCAATTGAAGGGTATATTACTTTTAATCCCAAAATTACCATGTGGTACTACTATGCATACTACACAGTGTTTGAAACTGAATACTTCCTTTGTACTAGAACCCCTTTTCAAGAGCCCTTAGAGCACCGGAGCATTCTGTTTCAAACTAAAAATGGAAGTCTAGTTATATGCTGTAATTTTCTGCATTAAAACCCCTCACAAACAGTAAAGGAAAATAGAAGTCATTTTTTTTTCTGCCATAGCAGTAATTTCTCCCCTGGATCACTTTTCAAATTCTGGAAAACACAGCAATTAAAAGGAAATGAAGTTTATCCTAAAGTTTAAATTCGAGCTATATCTTAAGACCCAACTACATTGCATGCCATGCAAATTAATTTTCATCCTATTAGGTTTCCTATAGAGAACAGCTAGGACTGCAAGGGGTACTTTTACCATTGTGTTCAATGGTGGAGAAAAAAATCCAAGCAAAAACTATACTGTAAAGTGGCATAGGATGCAAAATTTATATTCTGCTATGAGGTGGTCCCAGCTCTTATTCAATTCTTCCCCTTCCCCACCCAAGACATATTTGCAAACATGTGAGCCAATTTGGTCTAGTGATTAAGGCATCAGGCTAGAAACCAGAAGATTATGAGTTCTAGGCCTCCCTTAGGCAGAAAAGCTCAACTTCACACAGGGTTGTTGTTGTTGTGGGAAGAAGAAGGATTATGTATATTTACTACTTTGAGTTATTTATTAAAATAAGAAAAGTGGGATATAAATAAAGTGTGGAATATATCAAATTGTCACATACTGTTCTGCAAAAGAACCATTGACTTGAATGACAGGATTTACTTACTACAAAGGGAAATTTCTATATGTACTGTAAATTCCTCTGTATGTGTAAATCTAGACATGCCCTCTCTTAGAAATTTCCACCAGCATGTACTTGTGATTTGAAAGTGTCCACTTCAGTCTCCCCTCTCCCATTTGCAGCATCTAGTCCTTTGGCAAGAAGCATTGCCTATCACTGCAGTCTGATCTGTTCTAGAAAATACAGATTCCTAATACAACTTAATCTCCATCTCATTTAAAAACATTCCTTGCTTTATATCCAACCTATTATTCATTTAAATACAAGGTATTGTATAGGATTAATATGCTGGGACTATGTTGTACAAAAGCGTATAAACTTAAAGGAAGCTTTTGTCTTCCGAATCACTGAAGTGAATTCATCTTCAAAATTGAGTTCCTTTTGTTAGCCATCTCTGCCAGCTAGTTTACAGCACATATTCTGCAATTGTAGAAGCTATAAGAACCAACTGTATCAATTTAGCAAAGAGTTATGATACCTAACCACACCTTATGTTAGTCTTCCATATTTAATATTTTTGCATGCTGAAATGCTTGCAAAAGCATTCAGTAATTAATGTTTGTTTGGGCAGCCAAGATTTGAAGACAGAGATTTGAATATAGAGTTCTATGGAAAATATTCCAATTCTTGAAAGTTATATGCTCCAGAGAAGAAATTGTTATTATTATAATCATTCTCTAATTATTGTAACATTACTCTTTGTTGATAGATTAGCCTATCAAAATGTAAAGCCAAAGATCTAGTCTATTGTATATCAGTTTAATTTTTGATCATGCCTGGTCTTGAGAAAGCTGCAAAAAAACCCAATGTGGTTTGAACCAAGAGACAGATTGAAGGCTTCAAAACCAATGAAGACGTAGGATAGATAATTTTCTCTATATCTATCTATTATTTTGTTAATATATTTGTTCCTCATGAGATCATTTTATTCTAATGAAATCTAATGACTTTGGCATGTGACTATAATTTCAACATTCCTTACATTGTACAAGATTTTCTTAAAAACCTGATATACAAGTGTCCTGAATTTAAAGTGAAGTACCCCCCATGAAAGCAGCAGCTGACTTGTTTAAACAACATACTTTTTCATTTGTAAAGTTCTCACATTGCAGAGATTGAGCGTTCTGGTAAAACAGAATAATCTGGGATTGAAGATATTGTCATCCTGTCTTAAGTTTTCATTTAGATATAATTTTCTTTATGTCTTGATTATATGCATATTTTTTTATTCTACGCTATTCTATTAAACCTATTTTCATATGATACCCTGCTCTTTCCACATGAGCAGTAAATCTGTTACATAAGCAGAAAAATAGATAGGCTTAGAATTAGTAACAGTGCCCTTCAAACGAAGACATTTTACAAGGAAATATTGAATTTAAAAGGTTTCCTTGACATTTGTTTTCTGCCCACATTTTTTATCTTTTTAACATTTTAATTAACTTTGTAGTCTTTGTAATATTTTAATTTTCTGGGTTATTTTCAATACATTAAAGTAATAATTTTATACTGAGTTTTTTAAATTTCAAAGTTTTCTTTAATTCAACCTTTTCAGTTAAAATCTTAGTACTTAATATTATTGGTATCAAGCATTAATAAATATGCATGCATGCCATGTTTCTACAATAGGCATTAATTTAATACGGTGCAGATATTGTCAAAAGCCTAGGCAATTGGTATGTTGCAACTGCATTTGAGCTTGCTGCATTTGAGGGCAAATAAAGGTGCTACAGGATGAATAAAAATAATGTAAATCTTGTTCCTATTCTAAACCTTTCAACCAGACAGTGTTGCTTAGCTGAATCAGGCCCTTTAGTTGATTGAGAGCATCATTGCTCTGGTTAAAGCATTTAGAATTTGAAGGCTGTTTTTCTCAATTGCTTTGCTAAAACTTTTATAGAGGTGCTATAAGCAAAGCTGGGACATATCCACATATGCCAACTACAATCCTCCATAGCCAAAGGCAAGAATCCCCAAACAAACTGGCAAAAGTGGTGTACATAAAAAGAAGTGCACTTTTGGCATACAGTCACAGCTGCCATTTGCTCTTTTGCAACACAACACATATCCCACAGACACCTCTGTAAAACTGTGTCTTTTATTTCTTTCAATCTGCTGCAGAAAATTTGTATTCAACTTAAAAGGAAATGGCAGATTTCCATACATCTATTTCCTTGTGAAATAATACTGCACAGAAAAAGTGTGTATTTAGTGTTAATTATTACTGATCATAGTGGAAACAATAGGGAGCAGCTGAGTAAGGTTATTGACATCATTGTGGCACAACCACAGTCACCCTCTGAAGAAATGCACTTACGTAAGCAATGAACTAGAATCACCTGGGGCCTAAGTATGCAAAGTGGCTGAGATGCTTTGAAGCTATTGGCTTTATATTAAAAAGGGGGCGAGTTATTTTGTCCAAAAATATATCTATAAAAGGATCACTTTCTTTAGTTTCAGAAGGCAAAGGCTGTTTACATTCTCCTCCAAAGTCAAGAAAACTGATTGAGAATGCTTAATGAGGGGGTCAGTTTGAATTACACTAAAACAGCCGTGAAAAGTTTTGTTTTCAGCCAGTAAAAAGATTTTTAGAAAATTTGATCAGAATAATAAGATTCAAACAGTGTAAAATAGAGATAAGTGGTCATACAGCACTCAGAAGCCATGCTTGCTGCTCACAACCATCTATTTGCAGACACTAATGGACTGTTTTCAAACGAATGTGGGACATAAAAGTCAAAACTTTATCATCCTAGGATGTATTCCTAGACTTCCTGTAAGGTATGCCAGCGGCCAAAAGCTTTTTCTTTTTTTTTTTTAATTTTCAGGGATCTCCACCTTTGGAGATAGAAATGGATTCTCTAATTCCACCCTCTTGCAAATATCCTCCCCAATTGTAAACCTCTGAAAACAGGAGGTGGGGGGGAGAGAGAGAATCAGTTCCCTTCCCCATTATCTCAGCCTAGAAGAGTGTAGGCATGTCCAATGCACCGATGTTAAAGTGTCCTAAGATAGGCTGGTAATTCCCCAGTCAGTTTCTTAAAACTCCCTAAAAGTCCTGCACAAGATAGGATCCCATTGCTGTGGATACACAAAGAGAAAACACTGTAGCAGATTATAAAGAAAACAGAAGGAAAGAAAAATGGGCAACAGATCAAATTTGGGGCTTTAGCTGACGAAGTGGCTAATTGTAGAAGAAGATGAAATAGGCACTATTCAGGATAACTGAACGCACTGCAAGATAAACCGGTTGAAATGCACCTTTGGCATATTTGCAAGGAAAAGCACTTTCATTGGGATGAATTTAATAAACTTCATTGAAAAGCAATTGCACTCCACTGACATGAAAGTCAGCTTGGGTAATGACCTATAAGCACTCCAGAGCCTAAAGTATTTTTGGGGGAATACCCACAGTAGTAAACTGTGAATGCTATTTTATAAATGTAGATATGTAATCTGTTATTTTGAAGTGAAGTACTCTGAAATATGTAGCATAAATTGGTACTGCTGTTGAATGGGTCGATAATAAAACAAGCAGCTGTGCAAAGGACAAGCTAACTTTGAATGCAGGGAAACAAAGGGATACTGTGTAGGTAGAAAGTTCATAATCCAATTCATAAATGACTTGGATTTTTTTTTCTAGTTACCTTCTGCCAAAATAATTAGTGATTATTTTGTGATCGGAGATCTGCTTCTTATGTGGCCATGTTCATTTAAAAGCATTTAAATTGTGCAAAAACTAAAGAGCAACTTAGATATTTTCAACAGCTTTCTACAAATCTTCCAAGTTCTAAAGATTTCTACTGAAGTCATTTCAACTGTCAGTGGGACTAAATTTGTTTAAATCTGTGTATTATGCCATGATTGAGCAATGGATCAAACTCAAAAGCTGTGCAGTTACTTCTTGATTCATATGCAAAAATACTTATTTATAGCTAGATAGGTACAGATAATCTGAATATTTTTTAAAAATTACAATTTCCTTCTGTACATAGATATGTAAACAAAAATATCCAGGATTCTGTTTTTTTCCTATCTAACTCTGGTTATTTGGCTGTCATTCTAGAAATGATTTGTAGATCCATGTATTTCTTTAAATAAATCATTGATATAGATTTGTAATAACTAGCTTGCTACTTTTAGGATGCTAGTCATTGCTCTCTGGTTTAAAAGTAGCTTCACGTTTATCACTGCATTTGCTGAAGTAGGCACAAATTTTTGAAAATGCAGTGCACAGAGTGCCAATCAGAGACCCCCATCTGTAGTTCTAATCAATTTCCCTTTTTAAATCCTACTTTTTATTATTAATTTTTTTAAAAGAAGTACATGCATATTTTCTTCCTTCAAAGAAATTATTAAAATTATCAATGCAGCAATCATGAAAATACTCAGATATTTCTATTCAATATATTATTTTGGATGTATAATTTTGAGAAATACTGGATTATGCTTTCTTTGTAATGAGTGATGCTCTGGGGGACAGGGAGAGTGGTTTGTTTATGAATTTCTAAACTTCCCATTTATGATTTTCCAAAATTTGCAATTTTGTATTGCTTGCAAACTTAAATGTAGCAATTTCCCTACGTTCCAGGTAGTCTCATTTAACATGCTGATAAAAAGACCATAATCTTGTGAACCCCTTCTGGGAAAGGCTGGTGAAACTATATTGTGAGTTTTGCATCTTCATTTCATGTTGCACAATGCATTCAAAGTTAGCTGACCTTTTGAAGCAAACATGAAAAATAAAACCCTACTGTTTGTTAATTTGAAAATGTGAATAGTATTTTTATAGCTTGTTAAAGATATGGCTAGTTGCATTATGTAAATAAGGTTAATGTAGCTTTTATTTCCCTTTGTGGGCATCATTGTTTGGAACATGATTGTCTAAGGTTGATTTGTATATAAGTGAATGGTCTGTGATTGCCCCTCTCGCCGCCTTCTTCCTATTTCTCCCATCTTGGTTTATCTCTTTCCGGATCCTGACTGCATTTTGACATTCTGTGTGATTCTGTGTTAGCACTATTGTGGTTTGTTCAACTTCCTGCACTTGCTTACACAGTAGGATATTGTGTGTGGTGTATTGTTATTTTAACTTTTAGTTTTTTTCATCTTTCAGCTTTGAAGGAACATGCACTGTTGAAAATACACAACTGATTTTTGTTAATCAGTTTAGGCATCTAAATATTTTAGTATGATTTCCCTTTCATACTGGTTTTTTTATTTCTTGTTTGGGAAGCTGGGGGAGAAACCAGTGTCTTCTTTTTCTTAGTGTGATTACTTCCCACTCAACTTCCCTATAAGGTCCTTTAGGGTAGAGCTTTACCTGTTTGTTAAGGCAAATGTAGACTTTAGCCTGCTTTTGCTTCATCTTACACTGATCATCCCAGCTGAACAATTTGAAAACTGTTCTGCTTTTTTGTTACATGAATCTGTCAGAAATATATTTTTAATTTAATATAAATGAACTTCAATAAAATAGCAAACAAAAGGTTTGTTGTGTCAAGGTTTCTGTTTGTTACTAGTACTGGTTGCTTACTTAACAATGCTGCCCCAAATCAAAATAGCAGAGGGTGGTGCTGACTGCCATTTTAGGCCATCTCGGAACTGGCATCACAGCAAAGGCATGGAAGTGAAGCAATCTAGACTCTGGGCTCATAGGTGTTGTTTGAACTCAAAGCCACTCTGAAATATGAGATTTGGATATAAGGGCAAGCAGACTGTTGTGATCCAGAGGTGTCCTTAGTGAAAGACTTAACTGTAAACATTTAAAGAATTACAGAAAATGAACATGTTAGAACAGCGGCCCACAATCTTTTCGGCTTTGCGGACTGGCAGCAGAGATGGCAGCAGGGAGGGGGAGAGGGGATGGTTCTGTGCAAGCAATGGGTGAGCTCACCTGCACAAAGGGAGCTCCGCACACAAGCACACATATGCCACCACTCACACAAGTGGAGCTGCAGGTACTCGCCCACCATTTGTGTAGTCTGGTTCCGAACCGACCACAGCCTGTTACCAGGACCTGGCCCAGGAGTTGGGAACCCCTGTGTTAGAAAGCATTTTGATATTAGCTTGGTCAACAATAAAATTCCAACTACCATCCATATATATATAATTGATTGCATGAAAATATTCCCACATATTTTGGTGCAATTGACTAAGGTCTTGCCTTATATATCTTAGTTTCTGAATGTAACAAATGGCATGCATGTTGGTGCACACTGAGAATTGATTTAGGGAAGGTACTGAATTTTACTCCAACTATACTTTATAATGGAGCCTTAATATCACCTGTGTGGGTATATTTAGAAGAGCAAACAAATCAGTAGATTTATGGTAGATTATAAATATTCCCATATCAGAGGTGGATTTCAGCAGGTTCTGACCAGTTCTGGATAACCGGTAGTGGAAATTCTGAGTAGTTCGGAGAACCGCTAAATATCACCTCTGACTGGCCCTACCCTCATCTATTGTCTGCCTCCCGAGTCCCAGCTGATTGAGAGGAAATGGGGATTTTGCAGTATCCTTCCCCTGGAGTGGGGTGGGAATGGAGATTTTACAGTATCCTTCCTCTGCCACGCCCACCAAGCCATGCCATGCTCACCAAACCACACCCACAGAACTGGTAGTAAAAAAACCCACCACTGTCCCATATATAATACAACTAACATACAGTGAAAACATTATATTTTGCCTGGGCTTCTTCCTAGAGTAAACATCTCTCATGCCTTAAGGGGTTACAATACATGCATGGAAAACATAACACAAGAATATATTTGGACTATGCTGAGTTCCTGCCAGTAATGAGCAGAGAACTGGGCGTGCCTAAATAGACCCATGGGGCTTCTTGGCACACACTGCATTAGATTCTGGTATAAATTGTGGCATGAATTTGGAAGACCAAAATAGACACTGTTCCGTTTGTAACTCAGAACTATTTGGCTCCACTTACTCTGAAAATGGTAGAAATCAAAATAACGTTATGCTCTATTCATTTTGTGAATCTACTCTAGATAAAATGTAAGATTATATTCAACATGTTCAAAATAATATTAGTATTAATTTAAAATTTCTCATCCAACTATATTGCTCCTTATGTAAGCATCTCACATACTTTATACACACTCCATGTAATTATTTGTGTCTGATAAATAAGGTTCATTGTTTACATTAAGTTTATAGACTCACCTGCAGGACTGTCTCTTCCTTTTCTAATAATGTAGGAAGAGGGGAAGGGATGATAATCATAGTCATATCTGTGGGCAGCAATAGCCAAAAGCATCCACAAATTGGCAATCAAAGCTGTACCTCATACAAATGCCTGCATCTGCCATCTTATCCATTTGGGCAACTATAATGCAGAAACCACTGTTAATTCCACACCTTTGAGGGGCCAATTTTGAAATTGTTGGGAATTACGGGTAACTAATTTTCATGTTTTATCAATTCTTGTAGTTCATACTACATAAGAAAGTTAAAGAGGAAATATTTTTCCAACTGCGTATATAAGATGAAGCTTGACAGTGAATGTGCTATGCTGGTTACAAAAGTGACTTGGTAGCAGGGATGTTATGTATGTATCTATTTTGTGTGGGAAATTCAAATGCTCTGTGAATTGTGATTGGTTAACGGTTGCCCCTGAAAAGTATATAAAAAGGGCTGTTGCCTGTGTTCCTTTGCTGAAGTCTCACCCTGAATTAAAGAGCTGTTGTCACTAGCCTGCTTGTGCCTCTCATTATTCCCGCACTACAACATTGGCGACGAAGATGGGATTGAGGCCACAAGAAGCAAATCAAAAAGAGCTCTGAGTTTCAGCCAGGGTGACGAGCGAACACGGAGACATGGCAATGTCTGCCTATGTTCCGCCAAAACCCTTCGACCTGACCCGAGAGAAGTGGGGATCGTATCTGACCAGGTTCGAGTGTTCCCTGGAAGCAAATGAGATGCAAGGGCTCTCCGCAAACCGAAAAAGAGCCCTATTCTTAAGCCACTGCGGGCCAGACGTATTCGAGATGGCCGAGTCCCTCTGCGAGCCAACCCCAGTCCAGACGGTCCCTGGGACGTCCTTCAAGCAAACCTGAGAGCCCACTACGCTCCAGTTCCTTCAAAATTTGTACAGTGCTATGAGCTCCGGCAACGTGTACAAAGAGAAGGAGAACCGGTCAGCGCATATGTGGCCGCCCTTCGAAAAGCCACAACGCATTGCGACTACCGGGATCTAGACAATGCGCTACTCGAGCAATTGATTTGTGGCATTAGAAACACTCGTTTACAGAGGCGCCTTCTGGTGAAGCCATATCTAACGTTAGCCGGCGCGCTCGACAAAGCCAGAGCACACGAAGCATCCACGAGGGCTTCTGAAGCGCTACAACGGCCACTGCCAAGCAAAGACGGCCCTAAAACAGCCCCCGTTCACAGAGAAGAGGCGTGAACCAGCACGGAAGAAGAGTCAGACAAGGACTTCTTCCACACGGAAAAGAAAAAAAGCGAGCAAAGCCGCCGCCACGAGAACTGTCCTAGCTGTGGCAGAGATCATGAGAGACAATCCTGCAAATACAGAGACGCCATTTGCAGGCGTTGTGAGAAGAAAGGCCACCTAGCACGAGTCTGTAGAGCTCAATTTCCGCGTAGTCGCAAGCCACGTGACTACCGCGACCAACCAGAACCTGCACGTTCAAAACAGCCAACCGGAGATGACAGCACGAGAAAACGGTGTGAGATTTAAAAGCGAGAGACCTACAGCACGAGAATCGGCCAAGCCAGTACGACTGACGAAGAAAAAGTCTACACGATAGTAGAAATCGAAGGGAGACCATGCGAAATGGAAATCGACACCGGGTCTACCCTGTCCATCATGTCCTGGACTACACTCAAAGCGCTCCTGCCAAAGATCCAGAAAACCCAGCTGTCACGACAAAGAGTTCACCTCCTCGACTACCAAGGAAACCGAGTTCCTGTGGAAGGCATGGGCACATTCCGGGTCACCTACGGCGAGTTCCAGAAAGAGCTTCCCCTGACCATCGTCAGCAAGCCGCTACCAAGTCTCCTGGGCATGGCGTGGTTCCGAGCCCTCGGCATGGGCTTCACGGGCGTCCACAGCATCGGCGGGCCATCGCTCAAAGAAAACCTCCTTCACGAATTTTGGGACGTTTTTGAGGAAACACTAGGCAAGTACGTGGGGACCCCTATCTCTTTTAATTTAGACCCAAACGTGGCTCAAATCAGACTAAAAGCAAGACCGGTTCCATTTGCTTTAAAGGCCAAAATTGATGCTGAGCTTGACAAGCTAATTAGACAGGGGGTGTTAGTTCCTGTAGATCACGCTAAGTGGGAAACCCCAATAGTCACGCCAGTAAAATCAGACGGCTCAATTAGAATCTGCGCTGACTATAAATGTACAATCAACAAGGCGTTGCAACAGAGCACCTATCCCGTTCTGATCGTCCACCATCTGCTACACTCCCTGGGGCCTGGCAAGCTATTCGCCAAATTAGACCTTGCGCAAGCGTACTAGCAGCTGCCAGTAGATGACGCTACGGCAGAATTACAGACCATCAGCCTCTTTTGGGACTTTTGGCTGGTGACAAGCTGACCCCGGTTGCACTCTCCCCCCGGATGACTAGATGGTCCATTTTCCTGGCTGCCTATTCATACAAACTGCTCCACCGACCGGGCCAAACTCTGGGCCATGCTGACACCCTCAGCCGATGCCCCTTGCCCGAAATATTAGAGAACCCGACTCCGGAAGCCCCGGTACTACTGATTGATGTTGTGACCCCGGGCCCCATTTCTTCTGGCGAAGTGGCGAAGGCTTCTGCCAAAGACTCTGTATTGCACACTGTAATGGGCGGGGTTGGCCTACCAAGGTGGACAGTGGGGATTTTCAATTGTATTTTAATAAGAAAAATGAACTGTCAATGTTGGGGGGTTGCTTACTGTGGGGAGACAGGGTGGTCATTCCTTCTCAGTTAAGGCATAGAGTTTTGGAAATGCTGCACGAAGGCCACCCTGGAATTGTTCGAATGAAAGGCCTAGCTCGAAGCTATGTGTGGTGGCCACATCTCGACCAAGACGTCACTGAGTGGGTGGGGAAGTGCAAACCCTGCCAGGAGTCCCACCCGGATCCCCCTATAGCCCCCATTAGAGAATGGGAAAAACCAAAGGGACCATGGGGGAGGATTCATATCGATTTCGCAGGCCTGTTCCACAGCCAGAATTTCCTCATAATTGTAGATGCCTTTTCTAAGTGGCTAGATATCGCTTTGATGCCCTCGACAACTTCTGAGGCCGTAATTAAAGTCCTCAGGAAACTTTTTGCAACTCACGGATTGCCAGACACCCTGGTTTTGGATAATGGGCCCCAATTCACAGCAACCCAATTTGAGGGATATCTGGCCGAGTTAGGCATACGACACGCATTATCTGCTCCTTTTCATCCGGCTTTGAATGGCCTTGCAGAGAGATTTATAAGAACGGCCAAGGAAGCA